CACTTCCTCTTCCTCCCAGCGTTTTGTTCTGTTTACTCCACCTACCTATGTCCTAACCAATAAAATGGGCCAAGGCAGTTCCTTTATTAGCCAATGACCTTCCTCCATCACTTATTGACTTTCTCCCTTTGCCTGCCTCTTTTTTTATATTTATTTTATTGATTGATTGATTGATTGATTTTCAAGACAGGGTTTCTCCGTAGCTTTTGATTCCTGTCCTGGAACTAGCTCTTATAGACCAGGCTGGCCTCGAACTCACAGAGATCCGCCTGCCTCTGCCTCCCGAGTGCTGGGATTAAAGGCGTGCGCCACCACCGCCCGGCATGCCTTTTTTTTAAAAAAAAAATGTTTTTCTTTATTCTTTTCCCATACAATGCATCCTAACTGTAGCTTCTCCTATCCTGTTTCTAGTCCCTCCTCCCCCAGATCCACTGCTTCTCAGTTTCCATTCAAAAAAAGCACTTAGCCTGCTTTCTTAGAGAATCCAGGCCCGCTTGCCCAGGAACGATGCCACCCACGTGGGCTGGGCCCCCCCATCAATCACTAATTAAGAGAAGGCCTTACAGCTGGATCTTTTAGAGGCATTTTCTCAGTTGAGGTTCCCTCCTTTCAGATAGCTCTAATTTGTTTGTTGACATAAGACTATCCAGAACACATAATATATCACAAATTGCTTCTCATTTCTGCATTAACCTTTTATTAATAAATGGCGAATTTATTATTCAGCTAATGATTTGGAATTATCCAAATATCCTTTGCATTGATCCTATTAGCAATTCCTTGTGGCTTGATTCTCATATACGAACTGTCCCTGGTTGTAATGTTTTGATTTATGATGTTTTTCCCTTATAACGTTGCAAAGGTGATAATCATGTGTGGAAAATGTACTTTGAAACTTATCTTTGCCTAGAATAGCAATGTGAGTTACTATGCTGTCTTGCAATGCTGGGCAGATGCAGGGAAAGCTGCCAGCTGGTAGTCATCCTCACCATCCGGAGGAGAAAAAACAAACTAACAATGTTCTATTAAGGGTGTGTGACTATGCTCCAATATTCAATAGGTCCAGCATATCCAATGTATTTCCAGCCTAACAGTATATCAGCGTGAGATGGATTTGGGGCATAGCTTCATCTTAAGGTGAGGAACACGTTTATGTCGAATATACCTCGCTACTTCCCTTTCTTCTGCTACTCTAGCCCAAGCAAGTGCCATCTTACTTTCTGACTACAGCAGCGGCCTCCTCACAAACTTAGTTGCTTCTGATTTTTTTCCTTTTGCAGAATAAGTAACATATTGCTTTTCAACTCAGCTTCATTTGAAGCAGATTGAGGTATAGTTTAGCATTCAAATTTTTTTAACTGCTTTTGGGGGCGGCTGGAGATGGCTCAGTGGTTAAGAGCACTGACTGATCTACATGAGAACCCAGGTTCAATTCTCAGCATCCATAGGGCAGTTGACTTGTAACTCGAGTTCCCAAAGATCTGATACTCTGCTTTGACCTCTGCAGGCACTGCATGCATGATGTACACAGATACACACGCTGGCAAAACACCCATGCACATAAAAGAAATAATAAATCTTTTAAAAAAGTATTCTTTGATCAGTACATGTGGAAGGGGAAAGGAAGTCACATGATTAAATAGACTTTATGACAGCCGAGGCCAACCACATACTATCCTTTACAGTTACAGTGACCTTTTAGATTTGTACCAAGTTAGGCGAAGATGACCCGGCCTCTAGGTTCCCACGTCAGTCATTCATGGATGCCATCCACTCTGTGAGGGGTGAAGTTGAGGTAGACCTTGAAGAAATTGTCAACTTTAGGGCTCACTATACCAATGGCCTCACTGGTGACATCTGATCTCACTAAGAATACAGCACAAAGTTCTTGCTATCTCTCTGTCCCTATCTCCTCCAACATTGATCTTTACTAACTCACTAAAGCCTTAATATTAGCCACCTGGCCACATCCTGAGCCCCACACCGACCTCTCCCACTTCTCAGCATTCTGTTGTCTAGACACATGCTCAGTGCACGGCACAGACATTTCGTATGACTCTTTTATCCAGATACCTCTAATGCTGGCTTCCCCACGTTACTCAAGCCTGTTTCAAAGTTTGCTTTATTGGATGGGCCTTCTTTCACCAACTGGTAGCTAGCAGCACACTGTTCTTTCACCATGGTGTTTAGCATTTAATGTTCCTTCATGGTCCTCTGTCTCTCTCCTTCTCTCTCTGTCTCTCTCTCTCTGTCTGTCTGTCTCTCTCTCTCTGTCTCGCTCTGTCTCTCTCTCACACACACACACCTGCTTGCTCCCTCTACTCGAACACATGCTCCACAAAACAGAATTTTTTCTTCCCCCTAATAATCATAACAACTATAACAGCACCTTATGGCAATGATTACATTAATTTTTTTCTTACATTCTAGGACAGTGGATCTTTTGCTGGACCTCACAGCCAGAGTTAAAAATACACCCCGAGGAAAAAAAAATACACCCCGAGGTCACTTAAGAATTAAGACTGCTATCCTACCATGTACTCGGCCTGTTTGTTTAAACCATATTAATAAAGCAATATAACAAATCTACCAGCTAGTGCATATCTGTAATTTAAAATTATGTACTCTTCTATGCCCCTGATCCATAAAAAATACATGTGTATCATCGGCTGAAAACGGTAGAGGTTAAAAGCAATATTCTAAAATGAATATCCGTCATAAATGTTGAACAAGCACTTGGATATTGACTGATAAACAATGATATTTGTAGCACTGCTTGTTGTCTGGGTCACTTGGGGCTGATATTGAACTTGTAAACTCTGTTAAAGATTTCTATAAAGTATATCATTCCTCCCCATGGGATGTTTTCTGCAGTGTTCAGAAAAGACAGACACACAGATTTAACACATAGACATACAGATAGGCCCACAAGGACAGACACACAGACAACAGATGGACTCACAGGGACTGCCACAAATATAGATATAGATATAGATAGACACAGATACAGGAACTGACACAGATAAGATACAGGGACAGGGACAGAGTCGCAGGACAGCCTCCAGGCAGGCACAGATTCAGACAGGATGGAAGACACAGGCAACATGAAGCAGAGAATTCAAGTCTGGGCTCACTCTTGGTTAAACACCCCAAGGGGAAGCTCTTTTCTTTCTTCTCTTAGTGTGACACAGATGCATTATTGGTGACTCAGAGTTAAACACTAATGTGTTTAAACTATGCAGCCCCTGGCACATATAATATTGTTATTATAGCTACTGTTACTTTGAGGGGCAAAGCAGGATTCTGTAGTAAAGAAGAAAGAATCTGGGTGGTGGTGGCTCAGGCCTTTAATCCCAACATTGGAAGGAAGAGGCAAGCAGATGTCTGTGAGTTCAAGGCCCGCCTAGTCTACAGAGTGAGTTCCAGGACAGCCAGGGCTGCTACACAGAGAAACCCTGTCTTGAAAAAAAAAAAAAAAAAACCAAAGTAAACCAAACCCAAACAAACAAACAAAAAAAAAACAAAAACAAAAAACTGAAGCTCTGGACTGGAACGCACCCAGGCTTTACTTGTGGTTCAAAACGTAGCTGTGAAATACTCTGCCTGCATCCAAGTTTCCCCAGCTGTAAACTGTGGATTTGTTTAAATATTTATTATATACTAAGCTCGTGGTGAGGTAAAATGACATAATGTCTAAATTATTAAGTGTGTAGAAGTTGTTAGCGGATGCAGTGTGCGGTAAGTGCTCACTGTTGGATAAGTACATGGACTGCCTTATGGTGAGGGTTGTTTTGGAGGAGCCTGTGATCCACTAAAGGAGACAAATAATTTACACTTCACTCCGGAGTTCCAGCCAGGTAGGGTGAGCGCGAAATTCCACTCGAAGGAGAAAACAAAACGCTATAAACTGTGTCGCATAAGCCAGAGAAATTTACTTCTGGTGGTCTGGAGGTCAAGATATACAAAATCGAGATGCTAGCCTCTGCAAGGCTCCTGGTGTGCTCCTACTTCCTGGTTTACTGACACCCACTTCTCCCAACTTCCTTTGTCCTCCTTTACCTGGCCCAGGGAAAGGGAAGGAAGTTCTTGTGCCTTTTCATGAAGCCATTAATCCTGTCATATGTTTTAATACAATACCAATTATCCTCCCAAAGGTCCAACTATCAGGACACTTGAGCCTGCAATTCCAGTAACCTATAATTGTGAAGAAACACAAAAAGTCAGCCCATAAACTTACTTTCATGACAGAAAGTTTTAAAAGCAGCAGAAACATTTGTATGTAATGTTGGAGAATACATTTTTTTCTAAGTCTTTATACTTTGTACTCAAATTATAATAAAATTGCATTTAGTAAGGGTCAATAAGGAAAATTTCAGTTGAAAAAAATCTTGCAGTTCGTTTGCAAAACAAATCATCTTTAGCAGGCAGAATCGTCACCCTATTTATCGGTTGGAAAATTTCTGTGTTTGTATACTTAATTTTCCCAACTACGTCTAGAACGGCTGCCATGCTTTCTGTATAAGGCGTGCAAAGTCAGAAGACACACATCTTCAGCCTTGCTAATCTACAGAAACCTATTTAAAACGACCTTTTATTTACGCTGTACTTCAGCTGGCGCTTCACTGGTACACTCAGTGGTTTTATCTAGTCAACGTCTGTCCTAGGAGTAACAGCAGAGGGAAAAAAGTGAGGACAAAGGAGGAGCAGCCCCCGGAGGCGACCGTGGCTCAGCAGCTATCTCCACCGCACCGTCGTCAGGAGTCGGGCCGTCCCGGAACACACTGCCCTGGGAGAGCTGAGAGCCAGGAGACACCAGCTCTCCCCGAGTGCGTCTCAGAAAGACCACGCCGCGTGCAGAACTCAGCAGGGATGAAACACTGAGGACCAGCCCGGCTGAGGGGCGGTGACGGACCCGGAAAACCCAGAACTTCCGGCTGCAGGTGGGAAGCGGCATCCAATCAGCCCCTGTGTCTCAGCGGCCAATCAGCTGTCGCCTTACAGCGGCGCTCAGGACAGCGGGGCCGGGCTGCTCTAAACCGAGCGGCTGTCACCTGCAGGGTCCAGCTCCGGGTAGTGACGCCCGGTGAGGGCGGTGTGTCTTTGTGTATGCCGCCTTTCCTCCTTCGCTCATGTAATGCACTCCCTGAACCAAGAAATCCAAGCATTCTCCCGGAATAACCTCAGGAAGCAGTGCACCAGGGTGACCACGCTAACTGGAAAGAAACTTAGAGAGACCTGGAAAGATGCCACAGTTGAAGTTGTGGAAGAAGAGCCCGGCGGTGGGGGTGGTTGTGGCTACGTGCAGGACCTTAGCTTGGACCTGCAAGTTGGCGTTATTAAGCCCTGGCTGCTTCTGGGTGAGTAGACTGGCTGGCCACTGCGTTGTGGAGTCCTTTGAACTGGATTCCTTTGCCATCAGCTTCCTCTATGCCTAATAATCCCCCTTGCACATTAACATCATCAGCTATCCTGACGGAAAGTTTAAATGTTTACTTTTTTAGGTTAGGAAAAAATAGGGATGTTTCTTTCACATCAACATTTATCACTTTGACACCTGATTCTAGAATTTTAGAAGAAATGTTCTTATTTTCTTAACTTTCTCTGGAGGCTAATGGGAGGCTGTGTTTTCTTGTTTTGTGAAAAGACCATATCCTTTTAAAATGCAAATAAGTACGCGATTCCTTGGCTGTTGGAAGGACACTGAAAGCTTACTTCCTCTATCATCTGCTCACCGTGTCTGTCTTTGCTGTGCTGAAAACAAGGCTTCTATTTTACATCTACAAGTCTGTTGGCCTCATGTCTTGTGATGTGGAAATACTGAATTTGTATGCAAGCATTGCCCACAGATAGCAAAAGAAGAAAGCATGTAAGAGAACTCACTTGGGATTTTTGTTGTTGTTGTTGTTGCTATTGCTTCTGTTTTTGTTTTTTCGAGATAAGGCTTTTCTGTAGCTTTGGAGCCTGTCCTGGAACTAGCTCTTGTAGACCAGGCTGGCCTTGAACTCACAGAGATCTGCCTGCCTCTGCCTCCCGAGTGCTGGGATTAAAGGCCTGCACCACTACCGCCTGGAGAGTACTAGCTTGTTATCTTGTTGATCTAGTATGGTATTCTTTAGAAACCAGCCTATCCCGTAGATCTGCATTATGAATGAGAAAATAACACATGGACACAGACTCGGGAGTTAGATATACCCACAATATGAAGTATACACACAATGCTTTTAAAGATCTCCAAGTTACAATTGGGAACTGGGCTTTAAGACTGGGTAAGTGATTTGCACAGATAACAGATTTAGTAAACAGCAGAGCTGGGCATCAGGCCCACGTCTGATGGACTCTTACCCTCTGTCATTATACTGTGTTGCTTGCAGTTAGACTTACATTAGGTGGTACAATGCATTTATTCTCTCTAGATCGCCAAAGCCATCTGCTTAAAGTATTGTTTTAGTTTATTTATTTTATGTGCATGTATTGTATGCATGTTACATGTCCATCATGTGTGTGCATGGTAACCCCAGAGATCAGAAGGGGTCATCGGATTCCCCTAACTGGAGTTAAGGACGGTTGTGAACCACCATGTGTGTGCTGGGAACGTAACCTCCGTCCTCTGTGAGAGCAACACATGCTCTCAGCCACTGAGCCATTTCTCTACCCTCCAAACCATCTGCTTTACCTGAAGTAACACCCGATAAAGTTGTTCTGGCACTGTGAATGTTTCCTTGACAACACTCAAGCAGTGGAAGTTATCGTTATACCACGAGTATTAAGACTTATCATACATGATTAAAAACCCAGACAAAGATATTGGGGCCCAATCTGAAGATCAGAAAAGCAAAGCGGTTAAGCCACTAGAGAGCTGTTACCTCAAAGAAATCCTCAGACTGAAAGAGAATGAATTTCAGTCTCCTCCTGCCTTATCTTCTTCTCTAGTGCTGGGATTAAAGGTGTGAGCCACCACGGCCTGGCCTCTAGTGGCTTGGTTTTACCTTCTGGTGTTCAGACAAGCTTTATTTATTAAAATACAAATGAAATATCACTACAAACTCTCTTTAAATTGATTGAATAAATAAGGCCATCTAGTTTTTCAGCTCAGAGAAAAAAATATGATCTCACCAAATGAACAGCAAAACCTTAAGTGAATGGTTTGACTGAGCAGGATGGCTCAGATCTCGTTCACTGTATCCAGAGTGATAATATGGATATGAGCACATCTCAGTTATTTGACTTCCTGAAGCTGCTTCTGACCTCCCCAGGCACACGCTCTGTCTTCGTCCGCCCTTTGTCTCTGTCTCTTTCTCTCCCCTTCTTTCTTACATTCACAATAAATGGGAAAAAAGTAATGAAAAGCCGGGCGGTGGTGGCGCATGCCTGTAATCCCAGCACTCGGGAGGCAGAGACAGGCGGATCTCTGGGAGTTCGAGGCCAGCCTGGTCTACAAAGGGAGTTCCAGGACAGGCTCCAAAAGCTACAGAGAAACCCTGTCTCGAAAAACCAAAAGAAAAAAAAAGTAAATGAATAAATAAGTAAATACTTTAAAAACCAGAATTTTAACTAGCTGCAGTGGTAACTGTTCCAGAAGCTAAGGCAGGAAAATAACTAGTTCACGGCTCCCTGGGCTACAGAGTGAGGGCAGCATCAGCAGCAGAGTGAGACCCAGCAGTGGAGTACATACCTCAATACCGCAAGCACAGGGTGAGAAAGGAAAGAATTTCACTTAAACCATGTTGCAGGTTTACTATTTTAAAATACAAACAGATCAGAGTAATTTGTTAAAAGATGGTATATTCACTAAATGTTAAATTAAAACTAATTTATCTGAACGTGTTTGCCATCCCTGACATGGTTAAGCCTTCCTAGAATTGACAGCTGAGAATTACCTTTTAGTTGTGAAGTATTTCAAACTGGCAGGCAATTACAGAAAGACGAGAGAACAGACAATTTCTGTACCCACCATCTACGTCTCTTAAATGCCCATCTTTTGGAAGTCTAACTTCCGAGTAGAAAGAAGCAGAATGCGTGTTTAGTAAGGAGCCTCCCAGCTGGGACCCACTGTGTACTTGTGGATGCTCAGTGACCTGAAATCATGTAAGGGAAGCCGATTCCTCAGGCAAGGAAGGGCGGCAGGGAAAGTGTTGTGTACGGAAACAGAGTCACAGGAAAGTAACATTCCTGAAATCCTTCCTTGTAAATGTCCCGTTTGTGCATTCGTGAAACCTGCTCTGTGCTAACTGGCCATTCTCAGATAAGAATTTGCTCTGAATGTCTCCAAGTGTTGGAGAGTAGGGAGCCGTCTTCAACAGAAAGAGACCGAGAGAGGCACAGCTCTAGGGGTGTACAGTGTGTGGGTGGGAGCCGTGGACCTCAGAGCTACCGCGTGTTCCCTCGCCAGCTGGCCTGGGCTTACTCTGCAGGTGTCTAACTTTCTTAATACCCTTTCTTTTAATTCGGGATCAACTTACCCCTGGACCCAGCAATACCACTCTTGGGAATATACCCAAGAGAGGCCTTATCATACAATAAAAGTATATGCTCTACGATGTTCATAGCAGCATTGTTTGTGATAGCCAGAACCTAGAAACAACCTAGATGCCCTTCAATAGAAGAATGGATGAAGAAAGTATGGAATATATACATATTAGAGTACTACTCAGCAGTAAAAAACAAGGGCTTCTTGAATTTTGCATGCAAATGGATGGAAATAGAAAACACTATCCTGAGTGAGGTAAGCCAGACCCGAAAAGAGGAACATGGGATGTACTCACTCATATTTGGTTTCTAGCCATAAACCAAGGACATTGAGCCTATAATTAGGGATCCTAGAGAAGCTAAATAAGGAGAATCCAAAGAAAAACATATAGGCATCCTCCTGAATATTAACCTTCATCAGGCGATGAAAGGAGACAGAGACAGAGACCCACATTGGAGCACCGGACATAAACCTCAAGGTCCAAATCAGGAGCAGAAGGAGAGAGAGCACGAGCAAGAAACTCAGGACCGCAAGGGGTGCACCCACACACTGAGACAATGGGGATGCTCTATCGGGAACTCACGAAGACCAGCTGGCCTGGGTCTGGAAAAGCCTGGGTAAAACCGGACTCTCTGAACATAGTGGACAATGAGGACTACTGAGAACTCAAGAACAATAGCAATGGGTTTCTGATCCTACTGCACGCACTGGCTTTGTGGGAGCCTAGGCAGTTTGGATGCTCAACATACTAGACCTGGATGGAGGTGGGGGTTCCTTGGACTTCCCACAGGACAGGGAACCCTGATTGCTTTTCGGGCTGAGGAGGGGGAGGACTTAATTTGGGGAGGAGGAGGGAAATGGGAGGCGGTGGCGGGGAAGAGACAGAAATCTTTAATAAATAAATAAATTAAAAAAAATAAAAAAATAAAACAAAGAGGTGTTTATTGTAAATAATAGAATTCACATAAGAAAAAAAAATCACCTGTAACCCCACATTTAGTGTTTTGTTCCATGTACTTTCTGATTTTAAACACGGTTTTGTTTTTTATGGTACATTTCACACCATGCCTGGATTGTATGTGGGTGGTAGGGATCTAACTCAGGTCCTGTTTTAGCAAGTACTTCACCCACTGAGCTGTCTTCCAAGCCCCTCTAACGCGTATTTATTTCCTAACATACTGAGAATATATATCCCATGCCTTACCTATTTTAATTTTTATTTCTAGTGGTACATATTGCTATACAGATTTCGCTATGTAATTGTACCATCTTTTATTTATCTTAGCACCTACATTGGACTTGGTGTTGTTTTGTTTGCTGGTTTTGTTTTTATATGTTACGTGTGAACATCCTTAGAGGTAATCACCGCAACATCTATAATTTTAGTATAAATTATTCAAAATGGGAAAGTCCATAGATGGATACAAAAGTTAACTTTTCATGGTGAATATTACCAAATTTCCCTTCTAAAAAATTAAACTGATATTCTCCCACATTGATTTTTTTTCCCCCAAGCTGTTGTGTCTTTTAGAGAATCCTTACATAAAATTCGTGTGAAGATTCAGAATGGTGGTGTTTGTATTCAGGATCATATGATTTATTTCCTCAGGGTCACAGGATGCCGCTCATGATTTGGAGCTACTGAGGAAATACAAGGTAAATGCAGCGATGGATGCTTCAGGTCTAGGACTGCATCCAGGGGGATGGCTGTTCTCCCATCCCATGGGAAAACTGTATTGCTCCAACTTTGGCATGATTCCTTTCATCTGTGCAATTTGGGCTCCGATTTTAATAGCATTGACAGAATAATCGCACCTGCTTTAAATACACAGCTGTGTAATTCAGCTTTCCCGTTTCACGTTCTTCTCGGGTCCCTTCACACAACCCATGCACTTGACCCTGGAAGCACATCTTTCCTGCCCATGTGTGAGCAGTTCCGTATGGGGCAGACTTTCCTCACCTCTGCTTGTCAAAGACCCACCCATTCCTGAGTCCCAGTTCGTACACCAGCCTCCACTAACATTGCTTCTTACCTGCTCCCTTCACACAACTGATTGGATTTGTTGCTTGCTTTCAGTATTTCCTCGAAGTAACTTTTAGCTGTTTGCTAACATGTCAAGCACAGTTTCAGTTCATGTTGAGTGGTTTGAGGAGCACATGAGGTTCCTGTTCGCTTGAAGCTTATGCTCAGAATGGACCCAAAGAAAATAAAAAACTCTATAGAATGGTATAGTGTACGGTTCAGTCGAGAAGTACAGAGTGATGATGCCCCTGGTTTGTTTGGTTTGGTTTGAGACTTGGGGACTCAGGAAAAGCTTCTTGGAGGAGGGAATCTTGAGTTTCTCTCTGAGGGGGGTGAGGAAGGAACAGACATAAGAGGATTCAGATAGAACAGATGGTGTGTGTAGACAGCCCCAAGCCAGAGAAAAGAAAGGTTGATGCTTGCAGGGACAGAGGTGGAGATCAGAAGATAGTGTGAGAACAAAGGGTACCAAGATATGAGCAAGAGAGGCAAGCGTGACCAGTGCTATCGTTGTTTAGACACGATCCAAAACGTGGTGAAAGCCAGTGACACATTTGCACAGTGAAATATCAGGATTAAAGGTGCACTTTAAAGAGATTTCTCATTAGAAGCAGTGTGGGAAACAGAATTGAGCTAGAGATGGGGAGACCAACTGTGGAGTTACTTCATTTATCTCGGGGAAGCTGAGACTGGCTTAGATTCGAACGCAGAGGGGTAGAGAGAAGTGGTGGATTTGAGGTATCCTGAGAGGTCAAAATCCTCACGATTGGTTGGTTATGGGGAGAAGAAAGTTCCTAGTTGGTGGACTCTGTAGGAAGGATTAGGAGCTGTGGTCCTGTTGGAGGAGGTGTCTCACTAGGGGTGGCCTTTGAGGTTTCCAAAGCCCATTCCAGGCACAGTCTCACCCCCTCTCCCTGCTTGCAACTTGTGCATCACAGATCAGATTGTGGTGAGCTCTCAGCTACTGCTGGCTGGCTGCTTAGTTGGCTGGTTGAGTGCTTAGATCAATAAGTAAAATTTGCATAAAGAAACCTCAAAAGAATTTGAGAGAAAAGCAGTAACCGTGGTTGCTGTGAGAGTAGTAGAGATGGCGTGGAGACGCGATGAGAGCAAACCTTTTCATCCTTCCTCTTTACGGTGTTTTGATTTCAGAGACAGAAACACATTTTGATTTGCAGTGGAAATAATAATGCCTAAGTAAGGGGTCTGAGACAAGCTGCATGCCTGGTAAATATGAAGTAAGAATAAAGGAATTCATACTACCCCTGTTATAGAAGGTGTCCCAGCCCAAGGCCAGCATCAATCAACACTTCTCTCACTGGGTGGTAGAGGTAGGCTTTTTTGGAAAAGAGCCTTTTTGGTTGGGTCCCTTTCATAAGCCCCATAAATGCCTGTGGTTGATTGCAATAGAAAACCAAACCAAACAAACAAAAACCACTGAGGTTCTTTTTTTTTTTTTTTTTTTTTTTGATTTTTCGAGACGGGGTTTCTCCGTAGCTTTTTTGGTTCCTGTCCTGGAACTAGCTCTTGTAGACCAGGCTGGCCTCGAACTCACAGAGATCCGCCTGCCTCTGCCTCCCGAGTGCTGGGATTAAAGGCGTGCGCCACCACCGCCCGGCTCCACTGAGGTTCTTGTCTTTGTTTTTTGCCCTCTGATCTTCAGACAAGTTTACTTACTAAAACAAATAATATACCACAATAATATTCACTGAGGTGTTTTTTCCTTGTAGATATTTTAAGTACTTTCTGCTGAGGTCCTTGTTCACTCAGTTCTTAGGATCATTAAGTTCAACCTGGTCTGAATTTTCACAGCGCTTCTAGTGCAGGGCGGATGGCAGTCTCCAAGGAGTCAGAGTACAACAGAAGCTTCATGCATGTATTATTAAAGAGCATTGTTGCTGAGGGATGAGGCAGAGAACATGTACCAGTCAGTGAGTCATTATGTTTTCATTATTCATATTCCGGAAGTTACAATTCCGGTCTGTTTCTGGATCATCTAATTCACAGAACTTAAAAACCATCTCTGTTCTTCCCTTTAAGGTGACCCATATTCTCAATGTTGCTTATGGAGTAGAAAATGCCTTCCTTACTGAGTTTACATATAAGACCATTTCTATACTGGATGTGCCTGAAACCAATATCCTGTCCTATTTTCCAGAATGTTTTCAGTTTATTGAGCAAGCAAAACTGAAGGTGAGTTTTATTTTGATATAGTTCTTCAGAACTAGAAATTCAAACACAGGGGACCACCGTCCGGTTTTTGTATGTTTTACTGAATTTGTGAAGGACCATTGTGAAGATTTCCCTCTAGTAATACTCATCAAATCCTTCAGTATTTTTGGTTCTCTAATTGGTTTTTGTTGTTGTTGTTTGTTTGTTTCTTGTTTGTTTTTTGGTTTTTCGAGACAGGGTTTCTCTGTAGCTTTGGTGTCTGTCCTAGGACTAGCTCTTGTAGATCTCGAACTCACAGATATCCACCTGCCTCTGCCTCCCGAGTGCTGGGATTAAAGGCATGTGCCACCACTGCCCAACAATTGTTTTTTTTTATTAATGAGAAGTTTATTTTTCATATTAGTTTAGCTTTGTTTCTTCTGAGTTCTTACCAAGAAACACTGGGATACAAACTCCCTCCGCTTCTGAATTTTCCTGTGTAAATATATAGTTAAATGTCCTCTTAGGCTGTGTTAGCACCTACATACATCCTGACAGATTTGTCAGAAGCCAGATGGACCAAAGGGTACAGTCTGCTCTAGTCTTGTCAGCGGATTCTTGGTGATGAATTCATTCTCATGACTAAGGCGCAGAGATTGTGTAGCTGTGCCTATAAAAAATTATTGACTGATTGATTGAAGCAGGGTCATCGAGCTTAGGTGAAGCCTCAGACTTGCTGTGCAGCCAAGGATGATCTTGAACTTCTGGTCTTCCTGCCTCTACCACCCCCACACTAGACTTGGAGATGTGTGTTACCGTGTCTTTTTTTATGCTGGACTGGGCATGGAACCTGGGACCTTGTTCGTGCCAAGCAAGTACTTTACCAGCTGAGCTGTATCTCTGGCCCCTATGCATTTTGAAGCATAGAATTTTAAGACAGAATGCATGTTGTTGTGCTGAGACGATATGAAATCCTAATCTGAAACTATCTGCTGGTTTTGTGACTTAAGAAGACCGACACAAGATATTACTTCAATATTAAGTTCGATTTATTACCAATGTTCTGACAGACAGGACTTCTAGGATGGCTATTACCTAAAGTTGTACCCTGAAATGATATTTTTTTCTCTCAATAAGTAATTCTGTTTTATATTTTAATTGTAATTAAGTTTATATTTTTCCAATTAATTCCTTTAGTTTTTATGTATGATGGAATGTATAATCATTTTTGATAAGGAATAGTATCAGAGGATTCACACTCATAGACCTGTTTATGGTAGCAATATCAGATGCCCAGGCAGGTTGGTGGATACGGCTTATATAGTAGTCTCTTCCCCCAAGAACTAGTCAGGAGTCCCATGGGGACTCTGGGACTAGGAGCACATCCCTTGCAGGAGTCCGTCCCCGAGTCCCACCACCTCCTAACCTCACAGCATGAGCCCAAACTTTGATACCATGAGCCTCTAGGGGCCATGCTCAAACCATCTTCAAAGCACAGCACCATATTCGATAGGCATGAGTGTTGTCTAAGTGACCTGTGCTACAGACGTTTGCTGGGAGATCTCAGCACGATAAGGAGTTATCTTTCTTCAGGAATTGTCACAGTCTGACTCTCCAAAAAATTGGAAGTATTTTATTATATTTGATTTTTAATATATTTAAAAATTTTTCTTTGAGGATTTTATACATGGATACAATGTATTTTAATCCTACACCAATCCTCCCCCACTGTCTCCCTCCACCTCCTCTGAGATCCTCCCACATCCCCCTCTCAAATTCATGCTCTCTCTCTCTCTTTTTTAAATAACTCACTGAGTTTAATTACTGCTGCCCATATACACTGGGCATGGGGCATCCACTGGAGCGTGGTCAGCCTACCAGAGACCACACTTCTGGAGAAACCTGACTCTCCCTACACTAGCACCTTTTGACTGTTCGTAGCTCTTCAAGTAGGGTTAAGACTTCATGAATCGCTCTGCACTCCCTGATGGAATGTTACAGGGGCTGGAGACCAGGCTTAGCCATGGAGAGAGAGTTCTCTTTCCTGCAGAGGACCCAGACCCGTTTCCCAATATGGTAGCTCATAACCGACTGTAACTTCCAGGGAACCTGTCTTAGGGTTTCTATTATAACAAAACACCGTGACCAAAACAAACAAACAAAACAAAACAAAACAAAAACAAAACCGCAGATTAGGGAGGAAAAGGATTGTTTGCCTTACACTTCCATATATGTTCATCATCAAAGAAAGGACAGGAACTCAGGGAAGGAACCTAGAGACAGGAGCTGATGCAGAGGACATGGAGGGGTTCTGCTTACTGGTTTGCTCGTCATGGCTGACTCAACCTGCTTTCTTATAAAATTCAGGACTACCAGCCCAGGGAATGGCACCACCCGCAATGGGCTAGTCCCCCCCACATCAATCACTAATTAAGAAAATGCCTTATAGCTGGATCTTATGAAGGTATTTTCTCAATTGAAGCTCCCTCCTTTCATATAACTCTGGCTTGTGTCAAGTTGACATAAGACTAGCCAGCACAGACTCTAACATCTGACAAGGTGGACATACATACACATAAAGGAAATAAATTTATAAAAAAGAAAAGTAGTTATTTAAAATAGTGAAAGAAAAATATTAAAATTTTTTAAAAATTGATTGAGATCTGGAGATTGTTTTGAACTAAGTAATATACATTAGTAATTTTCAAGTTGTTGTAATATAATTTTTAAACATTTTAAGTCATAAAAAAATTAACTGTTAAGTGATGACTCACATCTTTCATCCCAGCACTTAGACAGAGGCAGATGGGTCTCTGTGAGTTCGAGATCAGCCTGGTCTACAGAGCTAGTTCCAGGACAGCCCATAGTACACAGAGGAACCTTATCCTTAAAAACAAAACCAACTGTTGGTACAAAGTGGAAAAACAAATTAGGTTGAGGCAGGAAGACTGAAGTACCGGGTGAGTCTAGAACCACCCGGGGCTACTTAGTGAGAACCTGTCTTAAAATGAAAAGAAAAGGCTGGTGATAGAGAACTTGCCTAGTGTGTGCAGAGCTATGAATTTTATAGCTCTATAGTACTATAACTATTAGTACTGCAAATGCAGAAGAAAACCCACAAAGAACAAAATGAGAGGGGCTGGAGAGGTGGCCTAGCACACAAGAGCTCATACTCCTGGAGGACCAGTTAGTTCCCAGTACCCTGGCAGCTCACATGTGTAACTCCAGCTCCAGGGGATGGGACACACTCTTCTGGCCTCCATGGGGTCTCTACCCACATGTGTGTGCACACATGTACATGCACACACACATAATTTTTAAAAATAAAGATAATTTTTAAAAAGTGGGACAAGTTCCTGATGTGTAGATGTATATGGTGGGTGTTATTTTACTTTTCCTGTGTGGAAGCAAAGCTCAAAAGTGAATCATAGACAGTTGACACACACTTGTTGATGTGAGGAATTTCAAAATATTAATTTTGTTGCTAATCATTCTTGAAAAGAGATGCCCTTGGAGGTTTGATACAGTGGATCAAGACAGTATTTTCATCACAGATCCACAGATGTGGGGAGGCTGCCTGGCAAGCCTAAAATAGTCAAATGGCCCATGACAACAGTAGTGTAATGTGAGCTTGGGAGCTAGGGTTTCTAGTCGCTGTACCAGATGAGGAGTGGAGAAATGAGGTTGCTGAAATGTTTAATTCTGTGCTGTGTGCTCCGTTCACTATAGATCATTAACTTTTTAAAAGCCCGCAGTCGGCCAACTGTACACTGTTGGTCCATCAGATCGATTTCATTCATCATTGATGATGCAGTATTGCCCAAACCGGCATCCACCCTGCCCTGTGTCCACTGCACTTGTAAAGTATCATTTACCTGAGGAGTTTTCTATTTATGGACCTCACATCTGAGATATAATTACCTTTCCCATTCCATCATTTACTAGCTGATTGGTTAAGAATATTTTTAATTTACTTCCTTCGGAATCACAGGCCCCACAGCACCAATGATTTTGTACGTAGATTTCCAAGCCAGGGACACCAGTTATTTCTATACATGCGCTGGTAAGTTGCTAGGTTTTTCTCTGTACTTGGCTGGGTCACTTGAGGCCTGTAGAAGATGCCATGTGAGAATTCCAACCACATTACCAGAGCCTTTCAGTCCCGGGGGAAAGCAGGTGTTAGATGATAAATTTGTCCTCGTTTTCTGCAGTGAAATTTATTCTGTGATATAGATAGACAAGATGAATTATTTACTTGACAGTTTTGAGTCTGCTAAGAATGTGTGATTAATTTAATGACCTTTCTCAGGTGACTAATGTGAGTTTTGTTTGCTGTCATTGCAGGATGGCGTGGTCCTCGTTCACTGTAACGCAGGGGTTTCCAGGGCTGCTGCCATTGTCATCGGCTTCCTGATGACTTTTGAAGAGATGGAGTTCACCAGAGCTTTGTCGTTGGTGAAAAGTGCAAGGCCGTGCACATGTCCGAATCCTGGCTTTGTAGAACAGCTTCGCGCCTACCGAGTGGGCAGAGGAAACAGTGGAGATGACTAGCTACCCGCAGCGGACAGGGACCGTGGTCCATGATCTGTGCTCTAGCAGAGACAGACCAACAGCTTCTCCATTGGCCTCTGTTTTGGAGAGAAAACGTGTAAAACTTCTCTTTCCTGTTGTCTTTTGCCAGTGGAAATGGGGGTTATTTGCATTGCCCTGAATATTAATACATTTTTAAGTTTTACCATCACTTTGTTATTGCAATATCTGGTTAAGTATTTCTTTGAATTACAAAGAGAAGATAATGTATTATCAAATCACTAAATCACATATGTGTAGGAGAAATTTTAAACCTTAAATTTTTTGTTAGAGATAGAAAAGCAGTCAATGAAGCCTTTTAATTAATTTTTTTTCTCATACAAAATTTCATGAACAAAACCTTTTGAAGTGGTAGACTTACTAAGTGAAGACTTACCATTTCAAAAAAGGTAAAATTTTTGTAAAGAATTTTTTCTAAGTTAAAAAATAATATCTTGGGGCTGGAGAGATGGCTCAGAGGTTAAGAGCATTGCCTGCTCTTTTAAAGGTCCTGAGTTCAATTCCCAGCAACCACATGGTGGCTCACAACCATCCGTAATGAGGTCTGGTGCCCTCTTCTGGCTTCCAGGCATACGTGCAGACAGAATATTGTATACATAATAAATAAATATTTAAAAAAAATAATATCTTCAGCTTCTCCCAAAGAGTACCAGAATCAAAGGCTTATATAAAAGCTATCTAATGCTTATAAATACATGTAACTTAAATCCTCTTATGAAAAACAAGTTTCTGGTGATATTTGATAACAAATAAAGCTTCCCTGAGGATCAGAGTGCGGAACTAGCCACACTAACTAGCCATAGAGGCTGGGCAGTGGTGGTGCACACCTTTAATCCCAGCACTCTGGGAAGCAGACAGACAGATCTCTGTGAGTTCAAGGCCTCTCTAGGCTACTCAAGATCAAATCAGTCTAAAAGAAAAACAGAGCTCACATCTTTGATCCCAGCACTGGGGATCCCACTCATTTAATCTCAGCACTAGGGAGGTGGAGACAGGAGTGATGGCTGGGCAGAGAGGAATATAAGGTGGGAGGAGACAGGCGCTCAGAGCATCCAGTCTGGGGATCTGTAGAGTCAGGAGCGATGGCTGGGCAGAGAGGAATATAAGGTGGGAGGAGACAGGAGCTCAGAGCATCCAGTCTGGGGATCTGTAGAGACAGGACCTTGCCTATTGGGTCTGAGCATTTGAAGAGGTAAGAACACTAGTGGCTGGCTGCTCTGCTTCTCTGATCTTTTGGCTTTTACCCCCTAATATCTGACTTCAGGTTTTTATTTAATAGGACCAATTAAGAATACATTATACAAATTTTCATTTTGACTTTTAAATTTGGTCTTATTATAAGCATTTTCTTTTATTCGTTAGATGATTGCATAGATGCTCTATGTTATAATTTTATGATTTTTTTTTAATTAAGCGTTATCACTTACACTTTGCTCTTTTTAACTTGGGTGCTAAGTGTTCTGTTTATGAGTTTCCTGCCATATTTTTTGTCTCCTGGGATCTCTAAAATCTATCTTATAGTGAAAGATGATTTTTTTAAAATAAAATCTTAAGATTGATCTATTTTATATTTCAGTATTCTATTGAAAAACATATTTTCTAAGGAAAAAATATGAATCTATAAAAAAATTTAAATATTTATAGAATGCTCAACATTGTGTACATTTTTTTCCTGGAAGAACACTTTGAACCGTTTTTTTCTCTAATGCTTCCATGATAACAAAACTGAATTATGTACATTGTATATTTGCTATATGGTTTTGAGTTTGAGGCAGGGGATTACAGATCAAGTGGGAGAGTGTATGCTTAGTTTGCTAAGAGGCCCTGACTTCCATCATCAGCAACACACACACATACACACACAAATAAAAATCTTTAAAATTTTTATGTAGGTACATACTGCAAATTTTATCTTTGTCTAGTTATGAGGGATTTTTTTATGCTTTTTGAGTGACATTTGTGATAGGTTCTAAAAGATAAGTAGGAGTTGACTGAAGGTGAGTGGGTTGTGGCAGATTTTTCAGAACTGAGTCAGGAACATATGTAAAAGCCAAAAATGAGGAAGAGCACGAAACATTGGCATATGAAGGACTTACTGAGCTGTGGCTGAGATGAGGGAGCACTGAGGCGGAGGGCATGGGATGCCGTCCATCACTGAGGCGGAGGGCATGGGATGCCGTCCATCACTGAGGCGGAGGGCATGGGATGCCGTCCATCACTGAGGCGGAGGGCATGGGATGGAGGGTGTGGGATGCCGTCCATCACTGAGGCGGAGGGCATGGGATGCCGTTCATCACTGAGGCAGAGGGCATGGGATGCCCTCCATCACTGAGGTGGAGGGCATGGGATGGAAGGTATGGGATGCTGTCCATGGATGTGGACTGTCGGCCAGATCATCGAGACCTGGTCCAGCGCTTTCGGATGTTAGTCTTTCAGAACAGTGGAAAGATTAAAGGTTGTAATCATAATTTGCTTAGAAAGTTTTCTTTTACTTTCATTTTTGTGTGTATAGATATTTTCCCTGCGTATTTGTCTGTGTGCCATGTGTATGCAGAGTCCATCGAGGCATTGGATTCCCCCACAGGACTAAAATTTCAGACAACTGTGAGCTGTCCCTTGTGGGTGCTGAGAGCTGAACCCAGGTTCTCTGTAAGAGCAGCCAGTTCTTTTAACCCCTGAACCATTTCTTCAGCCTCAAGAATGATAGTTCATTTATTTGAGGCAAGGTCTTGTGTTTGTTGTTGTTGTTGTTGGGGTTTTTTGTTTGTTTGTTTGGTTTTGGTTTTTTGAGACCGGGTTTCTCTGTAGCTTTGGAGCCTGATCTGGAACTAGCTCTTGTAGACCAGGCTGGTCTTGAACTGCCTGCCTCTGCCTCCTGAGTGCTGGGATTAAAGGCCTGCACACCACTGCCCGGCCCAAGGTCTTGCGTCTTACAGGTGGGCTCCGATTTGCTACCGAACTGAGGATGACCTTTCACTTCTGGTCCCCTCTCCATCAGCTCCCAAGTGTTGCAGTTAACAGGCATAGACACCAAGGCTGGTTTATGTCGTTGGTGCTGGCTTTCACGCATGCTCTGCAGGCACGCTAGCAGCTGGGCTATATCCCTAACCTTCAGACCGTTGTCTTAATGATTCAGTCTGTTTGTATTGCCTTGACTGAGTTGGGAGGAAAAACAAGGCAAGTAAGGAGGTTAGGTCCAGGCTTCAGGTGGTGAAGCCAGGTTTAGTTGATGCAGTAAAGATGGAAAGAAGGGGAAGCTAGAGACTTCAGAACACCTACTGTTCTGTCCAAGAACCAAGCACAAACATCAGGTAACTCACAGCAGCCTGTAACTGTAGCTCCAGCTCCAGGGTATAGGACACCTTTGGCTGCTACAGGTGCCTGCATGCACATGCGCACACCTACACCTAATTAAAATAATATAAATGAATCTTATAAAAACAGAAATAAGTGGATACTTTGAAAAATATTTAGAGAGTGGGTCTTACAAGCCATGGCATTGAATTTTATTGAAAAAGAAGAGTTTTTAGCCGGGTAGTGGTGAGGCAAACTTTAATCCCAGCACTTGGGAGGCACAGACATGCAAATCTCAGTGAATTGGAGGCCAGCCTGGTCTACAGAGCGAGTTCCAGGACAGCCAGAGTGGTTACACAGAGAAACTCTGTCTCAAAAAACAAAACAAGAAAGAAATGAAGAGATTTCAGAATCATCCCAAGGCTTTCAGCTTTAATGAGAATAAGTATTCATTCCTACGTTGGCCTTTTATATTTGATTCTACGTATCCTTGAGATATACAAGTCAAATGGGTATGCCAAGAGGGTAACTAGATGGGGCTTTTGGTTACTGGTAAGAATTTGCAGTAGGAACAGACAGCATCGCAAAAAGGAGAGTTTAAAGTCAAACTAAGGTATAAAGCTGGATTTTGGAGAACAACCATGGCGGAAGCCATGCTGTCACTCCTGGGAATGGCGCATAAGTGTTTTGCAAATGGAGCTTGTTAGACTAGAGGGCATGGCCCTTTGGAGAGTCCCCTCCACCTGACAAGGACCTATGGAAACAATAGGGCAAAATCCTGCGCTGATCCTAGGGAACTCATGGGCTTCAGGCCTCTGTAGCTTTCGCTATGGTAACTCTTAGCTTTGCTTTAATGGCCATGATTGTGCCTGGGTTTACTGGGAACCAAAGCTCTGGTGTGTTACAGAAACCGGTTTCTCCAGTTGCCTTGTGTCCAGAGTAAGCAGAAAGAACTCACTAAGGCTTATTCATTTCCAAATCATTGCTTATTCAATTCCAAAACCAGATAAATATACTCCAAAGAGCTTAAGAACTCGAAAAACAGTTTCTTAAAAGATGACCGTAAAAACTTGTAGGAACATGAAAGGTCAGACATTCTCTGGCACCAGGACATGAATGCCTAGATATGTTTCTAATATATCAATAAAGGAATCTAAAACTCCCAGTTCCTTTAAATGGAAAGTACATGCAGAAATTGCCAAGACGAATAGAAATTTAGTCCCAACAGTTAGAGTTAGGTACTAATCATAACTATTTTAAGAACTTATAAAGAATAGAATTATAAATGTATGGCACATAATAAAGGTGACATACAGATCCCTTAGGAACTGGTATACACCTGAAAATGATATCCTAGGCATTGCAATACCCTCAGCTGATTTCATATTGTTAAGAACTAATCACAGAGCCAGGCAGTGGTGGCACACGCCTTTAATCCCAGCACTTGGGAGGCAGAGGCAGGCAGATCTCTGTGAGTTCGAGACCAGCCTGGTCTACAAGAGCTAGTTCCAGGACAGGCTCCAAAACCACAGAGAAACCCTGTCTGGAAAAACCAAGAAAAAAAAAAAACTAATCACAGGGCTTAAATCTTTTTATAACCACATGTTTGCTGCCAGCTAGGGCACAGTATGAATAAGACGTACCTAGCTGGATAAAAGCATTTGGCTTGTATTATAATGATATGGGGTAAAAGCCAATGATATCAAGAGAGTAGGAAAAAAGAAGAGAAACTAAAATGAATAAATGTTGATGGTTCTTGGAAAACGATTAAAGAGAAATGATTTGAAGCTGCTCATGTTTGAATGCATTAGAACTTGTATAAAAAAATAGAGATGGGTTGCCGGGCGGTGGTGGCGCACGCCTTTAATCCCAGCACTTGGGAGGCAGAGGCAGACGGATCTCTGTGAGTTCGAGGCCAGCCTGGTCTACAAGAGCTAGTTCCAGAACAGGAACCACAAAGCTATGGAGAAATCCTGTCTCGAAAATCAAAAAAAAAAAATGAGATGGCCACAGCTAGTTGGGGCCATGAGTTTGAAAGACAGTCCGTCATTGAATTCACACATCTATCCTCTAGCACAAGAACCCCGCTGGAGCTGGACTCTGGCACAAGAACCCCGCTGGAGCTGGACTCTGGCACAACCACATTTAAAAGCTGGCTGGAGGGTGGGCCAAGAAAAGAGATGTGGTCAGAGAGAGAAGCGAGCAACCGGAGCACACTGTCAAAGGAACTAAAGAAGACTCCAACATGCGTGCTAAATAAGAACAAATGATGCTGAGAGTTCCATACGGCAAATATGTACCGAAGGCAGCTGGGCTTCACGGAGGATATGCTGACCTTGGGAAGATCAGTTTGGTAGACGAGTGGTGGGAGAAGCCAGATTTGTTTATTAAATGCTATGTGATTTGCCGAGTTACAGTTAAGGCAATAATATGTATCTATTTGGGGGTGAGTAAGCCAGTGTATTATATACAAGGTTGATATTACACTTTCTACAATTCAAATGAATAAACTAAATTCTAGAATTACCAGTGCCCCATAATTATTAAGTATTCAAAGTTGAGAGGGTTGTACCAGTCCTCAACAAAATACCTATTCATTAAATAAAAATAACTACCAGGCAAAGAATAATTGCTTCACTGATTTTTTTACTAATATTTTTCACAAAAGTGGAGACAAAAATATATGGGCTTATTTGTCTTTTTGTTTGTTTGTTAGTTTTGTTGTTTTTTTTGAGATAGGGGTCTCTGTGTAACAGCCCTGGCTGGCCTAGAACTTGTTCTGTAGACCAGGTTGGCCTCCATCTCATGCAGACCCATCTGCTTCCATCTGCCTCCTGAGTCCTAAGATTAAAGGTGTGCACCACCACTGCCCAGCTAGCTTTACTTAAAAAAAAATTAGAAAATCTCAAACAAAATTATAGAAAATAGCATGTTTATCACCAGCATCCTTGTTTACTGTCAGTCCTCGCGACTCCCTCCTGAACTTTCAAGAATCGAGACCACCCCCCACCTCCAGAAGTTTTCTCTTTTGATGTCTATAACTTCCTTCAGTTAAGCAAATAATTAAGTTAATCAAATAATATTTGATTAAACCTAACTGGTATTTGAACGCAGGACCAGGAATCAAATTCGCACATGAAAGTTTGGAAATTTCTCTTCATTTCCAAAAGGCAGAAGGATGCATTTAATCGGTTAAGAATGAACAGGCAGATCAGCCAAGCTCGTGTTTCATTTGATGTCTGACGGCATCATCTCTGTCAGTTGTTCCCTATCACGACTCCATCAGCAAATTCTCACGTTTCTGTGTGTTTCATTTATTTAAGACTTGGAGAGATACAACTACAGTTACTGTTTATAGGGCTCAAAAATCCAGGACCAACTGTGGACGTGTATTTCTGTTGAGATCATCTTTATACTGTAAGTCATGAAGCTGAAAACATTTGTCCTTGCCTGCTGCGAAGTCATGTGGGTGCTTTGTGTGACATCACAGTCTAAGTGAATGACAGCCCATGACACATCAGCTGCTGAAGGCAGTTAACAAGCTCGGGCATGATGTCTCCTGCCTTTGCTCTCTATCTGGAGAAGACAAATTCCATCTCTTCTCTAAAGTCTTCCAAAAGGTGGTTATCTTGGTTTTTAATTTTTCTAATTTTAATATCATTTTTAATTATTTGTATGTGTGTGCCTGTGTGTGGATAAGTGCATGTGATTGATGGCAAATGCTTCTGGCCTCTGGTTTCCCTGGAGCTGCAGTTACAGGTGACTCTGAGCTTCTGGCCTCTGGTTTCCCTGGAACTGCAGTTACAGGTGCCTGTGAGCTTCTGGCCTCTGGTTTCCCTGGAGCTGCAGTTACAGGTGCCTGTGAGCTTCTGGCCTCTGGTTTCCCTGGAGCTGCAGTTACAGGTGCCTGTGAGCTTCTGGCCTCTGGTTTCCCTGGAGCTGCATTTACAGGTGCCTGTGAGCTTCTGGCCTCTGGTTTCCCTGGAGCTGCAGTTACTGGTGACTGAGCTTCTGGCCTCTGGTTTCCCTGGAGCTGCATTTACAGGTGCCTGTGAGCTTCTGGCCTCTGGTTTCCCTGGAGCTGCAGTTACAGGTGCCTGTGAGCTTCTGGCCTCTGGTTTCCCTGGAACTGCAGTTACAGGTGCCTGTGAGCTTCTGGCCTCTGGTTTCCCTGGAGCTGCAGTTACAGGTGCCTGTGAGCTTCTGGCCTCTGGTTTCCCTGGAGCTGCATTTACAGGTGCCTGTGAGCTTCTGGCCTCTGGTTTCCCTGGAGCTGCAGTTACAGGTGCCTGTGAGCTTCTGGCCTCTGCTTTCCCTGGAGCTGCAGTTACAGGTGACTCTGAGCTGCTGGTGTGGGTGCTGGGAATTGAACTCTGGTCCTTTGGAAGAGCTCTACATCTCGCTAGCCCCTCGTTAATTTTTAAAAATTACATTCTTACAGAACAGATAAAGTTATCTTAACACTAGATTGATTTTATATTTGTATATAACTATGTTAATAGAGATTTAATTAAGTTGAATCATAAGTTGATGAATTATTAGTATATATGATAGGTACACAAAAGTTTGACTATGGCTTTATCAATTGATTAAATAATTTCTGAGATATTATATATTTCTGAATTTTCACAATTCGTTTCTGTTGAGAGGAAAGTTCAAATATATCCAATCCTGAATTAATTTTCAGGTTGAATTATTCGTAGACCAAAGTTCTGATCTGTGTTTCCTATACTGTTCAGTGACAGGCCAGTGGGCAAGAGCCTTGAGTTGGTGTAGCTTGAGTTGGTCCTTGCTTTTTCCATAACTAGATCAGTATTCTTGTGATGCTCAACCATGTGCATCATGCATTGAAGAAAGACTTCTCCATCTCAGCTTGAAAATCAACAAAGTACAAAACAGCACAGTAATGAGAGTGTGTGTCCTGGATAAATTAGAAATTCAGAATAGACATGGGGGAAGTCCATGTGACATTTTATTCAACAGGTTCTGAGGAGAAAATCAAAAAGACAGCGTGTGTAATTAAGATGCTTATCTAATGAACGCAGGCTTGTGGCAAATACAAAACACCTCCTCTTTGGACAAGAAGCATCAAAAACTGAACAAGTGTTTCTCATCATGAGATAATCCAAGTTTTGAAACTGTCATTATCCAACAAAAGCACTAAACAGAACTAAAAACCAGTTTTTGTGTAGAATAATAAGCACTTCTGATAGAACTAAGGTTCTTATGATTATGATTGAAAAAAATCTTCAAATATGCAAACATTGCTTCAAATAAGTTGTGTCAGATAATTATTCTTTGTTCAATATTTTAACTTACAATGAATTTGTTAATACATTTACTGATGAAATGAAAATAAAAAAGGAAAGACAATGGACCTTGTTCTCAAGAAAAATCCATGTTGTGAGACTAAAAGAAAAACCTTCGAAGCAAGCATCTTCTGGTGAGTGAGTGGCCGTCATGCACAAACAGGATGATGACTGCTGAGCTGTGGGGGAGGTCTTAGAGGAAGGGTACTCATATACTGAGCTGTGGGGGAGGTCTTAGAGGAAGGGTACTCACATACTGAGATGTGGGGGAGGTCTTAGAGGAAGGGTACTCACATACTGAGATGTGGGGGAGGTCTTAGAGGAAGGGTACTCTTATACTGAGATGTGGGGGAGGTCTTAGAGGAAGGGTACTCACATACTGAGCTGTGGGGGAGGTCTTAGAGGAAGGGTACTCACATACTGAGCTGTGGGGGAGGTCTTAGAGGAAGGGTACTCACATACTGAGATGTGGGGGAGGTCTTAGAGGAAGGGTACTCACATACTGAGATGTGGGGGAGGTCTTAGAGGAAGGGTACTGGCTTAAAGCTGGATGAAGGAAGGCCAGGATTGCTGTACATTGGGATAGAAAGTGAAGGCACACTAGGCAGGCCGACTGTTAGAAGCAAGGCTTGTAAATGTGAGGACCTTTTCAGAAGAGGATGAGGGTGTGCAGAGTAGACCTGTAAAGAACTCATTAAAAATTATGGTGAGAAGGCAAAGAACTTATTTTTGATATTTCTAACCTACTGGTATTTCTAAACTTCTTAATCTTCAGGCTCAGCTTTTTGCTTTCTACCCAGGTATGGAGTAAGTAGTGAGAGATTTATGTTCAGGATTTTGGGGTATTAAGTGTGTGTGTGTGTGTGAGTATAGGTGTGCATGCCATGGCACCCATGTGGGAGTAAGAGAATAGCCTGTGTCTTGGTTTTCACCCTTCCACCTTATCTGAGGTAAGAATCTCTTGTTTGTGGCTATGTATATCAGGTTAGCTGACCCAAGAACTTCTGGGAATTTTCCCATCTCTACTTCCCATCTCACTGTGAGAATGCTGGCACTGAAGACATGTGCTACCATGTGCCTGGATTTTCCTGGGTCTGGGGATCCAAACTGAGGTCCTCTGCTTGCATGGCAGGTACTTAAACCATGAAGCCCATTCCCTATTCCCAGTTAAATGCTTACAAGGTGCCTACTGAAATCTCTAAATGACAGATGTGGTTCTACTCCCCTTATTGAAAATACTGAGATACTCAAATTTTCCTTTCCAATATATATGTATATATTGGGGTATTATTAGTTATAATATACATTGCCAAATTCTTCAGTCTTGTCAAAGCTGAAGAAAAGGAGGTACCTGTTGGTAAAGGAAACCAGTGAGATTTTTATTTTCCTTGGCTGCTAGAGATTAAACCCAGTGAAATTTTTATTTTCCTTGGGTGCTGGAGATTAAACCCAGACTTAACTATATTCCTATACCCCAGAGAAGGTGTTTGAACTTCCAGGTAGTATGTATAAAGAGGGGAATTTCGGCTAGTGGTGTGCTGGGCTCAGCGGAAGAGTGATGGCAAGGGCGTGGGAAGGCTTGGCTGCATTGTCTAGAAACCGAAGCATCAAGAAGACTTTTTTTTAAAAATATTTATTTATTATGTATACAATATTCTGTCTGTGTGTCTGCCTGCAGGCCAGAAGAGGGTGCCAGACCTCATTACAGATGGTTGTGAGCCACCATGTGGTTGCTGGGAATTGAACTCAGGACCTTTAGAAGAGCAGCCAGTGCTCTCAACCTCTGAGCCATCTCTCCAGCCCTCAAGAAGACTTTTTAAAAGATCTATCTATCTATCTATCTATCTATCTATCTATCTATCTATCATCTATCTATCTATCTATCTATCTAATCTATCTATTTATTAGATCTAGTGTTCTGTCTGCATTGCTATCTTAACACATGATGGCAGGAAGAGGAGAGATCAATGAAGCCAAGATAACCAGCATGCATCAAGCTCATGGGATTGTTTCTATCTTATTAAAAATGAAATGTAGAGATTAAATACAAATCCGGTTTCTGAGGACTTTAAGTAGGTACACTGGGGCCGATGGACTGGCAGGGTGACAAGTTGTCAAGCAAGCATCTGGAACGTGACTCTTGGCTTTGGAGAGATTGGTCACGCGGTATTGGAAATTATTTATAGAGTGTGAAGACCGATAAAGACTTCAAGGGATAAGACTGAGAGTTTGAAGGAGAGGAAAGAGGCTTTTGACAAACGCAGGTATTTCCCAGCTATAAATAGGATCAGTTGTTCAAAAGAGAGGCAAGGGATAGAAAGTTAGGAGACCTAGGAAGTGTAGCATTAAAAGAATAAAAGACTGTTGGAGACAGGCAGATAGAGGACTTCTGACATGAGGGT